TAATGAATCGTTACGAGACATTATCGTGTGCGGTACTCGTTCGCTCGACCACGTACGCTTTAAAGCGGAATTGATGGTCGAAGTATTTTCTTCTCGATTTCTCTCAGTCATACGGCAACAAGATGTTCCGTCGCTCTCTATAAATAATTGAACTTATGGACTCGAGTAAAAGAAGCGCTTTTAAGTTTCGAACACATCGCACCCCCTCGCCTCTCGACTTCCTCGACGATAGCGTTCTCCTTTAGTATCTCGCAATGATATTCCCGATCCTTGAAAACGATTCAGTCAATTTCTCCTTAACTTACATATATGCAGAGATGTAAGATAGCTTGATATACCTATTCTTTTATTCAGGCTTATAAATATTAAAAATCTAAACAACGACCGTGGGAAGACCGTAATGACAGAGCGAATAAAATTTCATACGTAATAAAAAGGGCTGTATTTAATCAGCGAATCTGCCTGCGTATACACGCAGATGTAGGGCACGCCGTCGGAATATTTTCTTTATACCGCTATTTTAAATATACGCCAGTGTCGCTGTAAAAATACCGGCCTCGTACATTTAGAAAAATATCACTGCACCACGGTTTGTTAACCAGTAAGAGTATTTCTGTGTAAACACCCGCGTAATTGCTGTGGACGGTGCAAACGCTTTATTGCTGTGGGCGTACATATTATTAGGTATATAGAGTACCGTTTGCGTCTCGGTAATGGGCTCGCTCGCTTTTCGCCGGTTCGTTAGACCGTGACACACCCTTATTAATTCTGGCACAATATTTAAGCAGAAATACATAATTATTATCTGCCCACATCAGTCGGGAAAAATCGCGACCAGCCGCGACAAACAGGTGGGAAATGAAATTAATTTAGCATCAACCATTTTCGATCGAGTTACCCAACGCTTCTCGAACACGCCATATCTCGCAATACAAACGGACAGAATTTTACGCATTCGCATGTTGAAACTTTTCGCGAGAGATAAGTCCTAACAATATCGAAAAGTTTCCGATAGCATAATGGCACCGCTGTACGATAACGGCCGGTTGTTTTTCACCGGAAGTACGTGGAAATGAGAAATAGAATGTCGTCGAAGTTGACCTTAGCACCGCGCCACGACATAATTATTTAATCGCGCCGTTGAATTAAAGAAGAGGGAAAATACAGAGAAGCGCACGAAGCTGGCTTCTGGAAATTCGGAAAACCCCGCTAGAGCTGCTTGATAATACAGGAGGCAGCACTCCGGATGAATGAATATCGCGAAACGGTTTATGAGATGAACAGAAGCATAATGGCTTGTCAGTGAAGGCAATTCGGGACGACTTTACGAGCACTTGGCACGTATAATTTACTGTATGCCGATTCAATCGAAATGAACGTCCTATGTTAAATATCTTTCGGAAATTGCCAGTCGCATTCGCATGGACGTTGTCAAGTGCAACGGATGCCGCAGGGAAGCCCGTAACAACAGTTACAATAGTCCGATACGTATTTACAGTAAAACCGATTACGTCTCATTCTAATATCGCAGCGGATAATGACGATCGACCGGGAAACAGTTTGTCGATCCAATATATACTCTAATACACTCGAGGCGAAGAGTTTCCTCGCAATTTGTAAAGGAACTTAACAATGGACGAATTAACATCTCTCTTTAACCTTTCCAATTGGACGTCGTGTTAGCACACGAATGTTAATACGGGATAATCCATTCCATAACAAGGCAACGATACGATAAGAAACACGTACGCTTAAATACCGTACGCTTCAGCTCACTTTTCCGCGAAATTCCTCGAAATTGAGGAATTTCGCCAGTTTTATCGAATAAAAAGAGATACGAGAATGAAGGCGGTTCTATTAAGATGTAACAAAAGAGAGAGGGAGGGGGAAAGGGAGAGAGAAAGAGAGGTCGAGCAGGTAAGAGCAGTAATTTTCGGATCCATCCGCTTTAAAGCGCGTAGATCGTCGCGAGCTTTTCTTCGTTTTGCGCGCGATCAAACTCGGGCGAGCTTTCGGGGAACACTCGATGATATATAAAGCTTTATTAATGGACTAACGCCCGCTGCTGCAACGCCCGCGGCCAGCACATAGTGGACAGAGCCGGCTAGAATGACGCGTTAGCTCGCTTACCGGAAAACGCTCGGCTCGTTCGTCGGGTGCTCCGCAAACTAGGTGTGGCACTTTTCTACTACGATCGGAGCTTAATCGCGTTTAGTCACGGCGCGTCAAGCTGCGCGTCATTTCATCGTAAATTGTATTGACAGGTATATGTATTGTTTCGACAGAAAGACAGAGATAGACAGAGATAGAGAGAGGGAGAGAGAGAGAGAGATTCTCGTAAAATGTACCATCGTCATGGAAATAAAAATCTTGCATGAGCAATGTACAACGTGCACACAGGTCGATGTCTCCTAATTGTGATAAAAACCAATCGATAGCCGATGAACAATAGAAGCGAAGATCTCCCAGTCTCCCAATTTGCAGTAATTGCACGCGTCGTATTTTTCGATCCCGATAAGAGATAACGATTCTCTCGTGCGACAAGAGGAGCATTGACTTACGCGTGAACGGTATCACGTGCCCGCCATAGATCCTAAGTATCCGCCGGGAAATTATTCACGACTTAAACGAACACCGTCACAGTTATTGCCATTACTGCACCACCGACACCATCACTACTACCGGCACCGTCGCTGCCATTATCACCGCACCACAACTCCCATCGGCACCGGCGACGTTACCGTTCGTGCTTCTGACACCGAGGCAATACACTGGCGACTTATGAATATTTACGCCAGTTGAATATGCATACTACTGACAATGTATTATTTTTGCTCGACGGGAGATCAATATACTACCACGCGACGTACACACATGTACATATATATATATATATATATATATATATATATACATATATATATAGAAGTAAAAGTGTACAAACGGAAAGCGCGTGCGTACACAGGGTGTCCAAATTTTATTGTTTTAACTGCTAATAATAGATTTTCAACGAAAACGAAAACATAGAAATATAAAATAAAATCTTGATTAAAGTAAAAACATAAAATAAAGACTTCTCTGTCTTCTATTTATATTAAAAAAAATAAACTTGATAGAGATATTCGAAATTTTATATCGTTGAAAAAATTTTAGTATATAACAAATAATGATTCTCCAAAATTTTTCCAAAGATTTAAAATATTTGGTAAGAAATTGATTGGTGATTGCTGGCATAGAAGCTAGAACAATATCCGATATATCAATATATCAAGTTTATAAACACGCATAAGGATGCGCACACATTTAAATCTATTTAAATCAATGTATGTAATCAGTGCGCATACGGTCGTATTCTGTTTCAGAGAGTGTTAAAAAACGTAACAAAAACAAAAGCAATGTATATTTTTTTAACCTACATCGTCGTACAAGATAAGTGACTATAGAAACCGGAAATGTGACCATCATAATGCCACCAGCTCTTGAAAATAATTGGATTGCATTAATAGGAATATAATCGTAAAACACATCGTGGAAAAGGTCATTGTTGTTAGGGGAGTAATACTTCCGGTGCAATCGCGTTAAACTTTTATTAATGCCTCGACAGTCGACAGATGTCAATGCTGCCCTAACGTCAAAGTGTCGCTTTCGCGTGTCTCGTGAATTAGCAGGAAACCTATTTCGTTTCGAGACTTTCGTCCCGCCCGATGCATTCATCAAGAAACGATCATCGGTGCATTATGACCGCGCGCCGTGACCGACGTGGCACCGGTGCACAGGAATTAGCCATTAAGCGGAATGACGTCGCGATTTCTCGAGAGACGTTTCCGCGATGAAAGGAGACTGCCGGAGAAATTTAATGCGCCTCGCGCACTCGAAAAAAGAGAGAGAGAGGGGGAGGGGTCCTGCGGCACCGTAATTCAATTAGGCTCGCTGCATCGAAATTTAATGGGCCGCGACGCCGCAACTTCGCCTTGGAACGGTGCCACGGCGCGTCCGGCGCGGGCCGTGTCCGATGCAGAAAGGGCACAGCGTGCACGTTGCGCGCCCTTTTGTGCCTGAAGGGCCAACAGAAGTACCCGGAAAAGAAACGAGAGAAAAAAAGAGAAAGGGCGAGCATTCCCGTGCACGTACAATAAACGTTTCCGCGAATAAATCCTTTCCGAGAAGATGTCACGTACTTGCGATCTGCAATCTCGGTATCAAGATGTAATTGGTTATATTAAAAGCTGAAATTGCAAATCGTCGCAACCGTTGCAAAAACAAGAAATCAAAAGATCGATTAGAAGATCGATTTTCTATTAAGTTATTTGACACGAATTTATACCTTCACCCATGCGCTTTGACCTCGAGTTTTGAGTTACGACATATGTTAAAAGCTACATCTCTCGGTTACTACTCGGCGTCCCCTATTTATCTACTGGAAACGTCATGATTTATGAATATGTAGACACGACGTCTTTTTTCCCGAAAAGTATCTATTAACTATTGAAGATATTTATGAACCGCGGCTAGCACACGCGTGGTCGTTTTGACGTGAGTAAATTGAAACCATTGCCACGAGATCGAATGTGTTTAACTCTTCGCGCGGAATACCATTCGTTGGTTATTGAATGAGATATTGGGAAATCTTGGTGAGGCCCAAATACTCGTTTCGTTCCCTTCTTCAAAGGAAACGTACATCTTGCGATATTTGATTGGAAATTCTTGGATTCAATATAAGCACCGTGATTTACGTAAAAGCGTATAGACGTAGAAGTTATTGCCAAAGAGTGCCCACAGCCAATATCGATTAAAATTCAATAGTGTTTCAGAAAATCGCAGTCTCAATCTTCATTTCAGTTTTATCATTATCAATTTCTTTCATGTTTCATGAACATAAAGGATTTTTTTCTGGTCGCGTAATCTGACGGTTAACATAATTTTCTTTAATCGATTTTCATTATATTTCGATATATTTAAACGAGTTGTTTATTTTAAATAATTCATGACTTATCACTTACCTTCTTCGTCGATGGTGAAGATGCCAACGCCATCACCTCCGCGGATGCTGTATCCAATCTTGGAATCTCCACCGGGGGGATCCGCGTCTCTCGCCCGAACCGTGGTGACGAGGGTGCCGACAGGTTGGTTCTCGAAGACACTCGCGGACACGACGAAATCGTCAAAAATCGGCGGATGAAGATTCTCATTTACGTCAATCACCTCGATCACGAGGTCCGTCTCGGAAGACAAAGATGGATCGCCGCGATCGCGCGCGACTATTGTCAACGTGTGCAACTGCCGATCCTCAAAGTCCAAGCTCTGAGTCGTCCTCACCGTGCCCGACACCTTGTCAACCTTGAAGAAAGAACCTTCGCTCTCCATCGCGTCCGACAGGAAGTATTCCACGTCGCCGCCCGCGCCCTCGTCGGGATCCGTGGCGTCCACAACGGCGACGACGGTCCAGAGCGGCACGTCTTCGCGGATCTTGACGTTGTAGTTCGACAGCGCGAAGGTGGGCGGATTGTCGTTGACGTCGTCGACCGTCACTCTGACGAGCGCGTCCGAGTACAAGGGCGGAGTGTCGTTGTCCTTGCCACCGTTATCACGAGCGCGAATTCTCAGCTCGTATATCTCTTGCCGTTCCCTGTCGAGCTTGCCGAAGATGCTCAGCACACCCGTCGAGGGATCCACGCGGAAGTCGTTGGTCTCCGTCACGAGTGAGTAAGTGACGCGCGCGTTGTCACCGAGATCGGCGTCGGTGGCGTTGGCGCGCCACACGTTGGTGCCGTTCAGCGCGGTCTCGGAGATTCTGAAACTCGCCAAGGACTTCTCGAACTTCGGCGCATTGTCGTTGACGTCCAGGATGGTAATCGGTAGCATCTTCGAGGCAGACTTCTGCGGCTTGCCCAGATCGAACACACTTATATTTAAATAGTACTCGCTCTCCCGCTCGCGGTCCAGATAACCGATCGTGTTCAGGTCACCGGTGTCCGGATCGATACCGAAGACGGAGTGGCGGTCGCCGCTGGATATGACGAAGACGAGTTTACCATTGTAATCGAGGTCGCGATCGCGGGCGCGTATTCGCACTAGAGTCGTGCCGAGTTTGAGCGACTCGTTGACCCGTATCTCACTCGGGAAATCGATGAATTCGGGGGCGTGCACGTTCTCACCGTAACGACTCGGTATCAGGGTGTACTCGTCGTCCCGCGACGGCATGTTATTCTTCTCTGCTGAGGCCATTGCGTCCGTCAGTCTGCGCGCCACGCCGGTGTCGTGGCATTCGAAAGCGCCGGTCTCATCCGTCAGGATTCTCGCCTGCGAGCCCAGATTCCGCTTGGCGTTCACAAGATGTATGTGAATGGGATTAACATCCGCGAAATGCGTGCCGTCGGTGGCGGTAACGTTGACAGTTCTCTCGGTGACCTTGATGTCCGATAGATCGCAAGCGACCGAGAGGACACCGCTGGCTGAGTCGAGAACAAAGCAACCGTCGGAATTCCCGGACACTATACGATAACTAACGATGTTCCCGGCGTCGAAGTCAATCGCGGACACGGTGATGATCTCAGATCCGATCGGCACGTATCGCGGCACGTGACCGGTGCAATCGATCCGTTCGAACTGCGGTCGATTGTCGTTTACATCCCGTAACTTCACCCGTAATTGCATCTCAGCCTGACGCCGATAAGGCAGACCCCAATCGCTCGCTCGCACGTGCAGCAGATACTCTCGTTTCATGGTCTCGTAATCGAGAACCTGTTTGGTCTTGACGATACCGGAGAAATGATCGATTTCGAACGGAACTTTCTTAAGGTTGTCGATGCTGTAAGATATGTAGGCGTTCTCGCCAGAATCGCGATCCTTCGCGGTCACTCGCACGACGGACGTGCCGGCCGGTTCGTTCTCGTCCAGCAGCACCTCCATTTCCGGCTGGTCGAAGGTCGGATCGTTGTCGTTGGTGTCGACCACGTTGATCTTCACTTTCGCCGAGGATTGCTTTCTGGTGCCGGCGTTACCCTGATCGATTGCCGATACCGTCAGCGTATAAAACGCCTTCTTCTCGGCGTCCAGATTGACGGCCGTGTACAACATACCGGTCTCGGCGTTCATATGAAATTCGCCACCCTCGTTACCGCCAACTATTTCGAGATATACCAGTGCGTTTTTCCCTTCGTCCGCGTCCGTAACCTTGAGTCTTATGATCGGCGTGTTTATGGGGGCAGTTTCTGGCACTTTAACCTCGTAAATCTGGCGACTGAACACCGGCGCGTTATCGTTCACGTCAGCCAGATGCACCGGCACGAATTTGTAGCTGTACCGCTGCGGCACCCCGCGATCCATAGCGCGCAGGGTGAGATTGTAACCCTGCACCGCGGTCTCGCGATCGAGCAGATGCAGTACCTCGATGTTGTATTCGCGACCGAAGAGCGATCCACCGGCCGGACGCACCCTGAAGTGACCGGCCGGATCGCCGCCCACGATATCGAGACTCGCGATCTGACCGTGTACGCCCTCGTCACGATCGTTCACTTGCACAATCGCGTAGATGTCGGCGTTCGAGTTCTCGACGATGTTGGGTAACTGATGTACGTAGATTTCGGGCGCGTACAGATTCACCTGCCGTACTCTGATGGTGACCCTCGCGGTACTCGCGCGGCTGTTGCCCGCGCTACGAAAAAGAGCGCCGCGATCCTTCGCTAAGACTACCAGCTCGTGTATGGCGCGTTCCGCGTACCTAAAGAGAAAGCGAACCATTTGTTAACACCGGCACACACACACACACACACACACACACACACACACACACACGATTCCACGAATAATTTACGAAGAAAAATAGAAGAAAAATGAAATTTGCTAAATATTCTAAAAGCTATTGAAATAACAACGTACAAAAATGAAAACTCATAGACGAAATGTTGCATAAAATTACAATAATTTTAAATTATAAAAATTATAATAATTATAACATAAAAAAGCAGAAAAAAATAATAGAAAAAATAATAGAAAAAATATAATTTTTGTTATTTCAACTTTAAAAATTTTTTAAAATTAAGCTATGTTCATCTCTCTAAATTCGAATAATTCGTATAAAAGTTTATTTATTTTATGTGTCTAAGATAAGACAATAAAATAAAATACATTATAAAAATCTGAATAGTAGTAAATATTATATTGCAAACTAATTAAACAGTCCAAATTAATAATTTTACTTGAGTTAAATAAAATTATACTATTGAGTTTTTGAAACACTTCTGCCTCGAATTGTTTAAATAGATCGCAATTACACTCTAATTTATACGTTTGAACTATTTGCAAATTTGTAAAATACCGACAAAAATATACGCTTACCTGAGCGGTCTTGTAAGCGTTATTACGCCACTGACCGGATGAACAGCAAACTGATCTGTTTCCTCTGCAAAGCTATAGTAAATTTCGCCATTTCTGCCGAGATCGGCGTCCTCGGCGATTACCCTGAGTATGCTGCGATGCAAAGGCGTGTCCTCCGTCACGGTGGTCTCGTATTCGATCGGATAGAAGAGCGGATTGAGATCGTTCGTGTCGAGGATTGTCACCACCACCGTGGTGCTCGCCTCGAGCGTAACCACTCTGTTTCTACCGTCGCGTTTGCTCGAGGTGGCACGCACCTCGAGCACGTATCGGTCTTTGCGTTCGCGATTTAGCACGTCGACGCTGCTGGTTCGAGTCCGTATTAAGAGGAAGCAGAAATCGCCGACCGTGCGTTCCTCCGCTTTAAAAAACTTTTCGCGATCGCCGCTCACTATGCGAAACTTTACGTCAATGTCACTATTGGCGGACGCGAGCTTTATACCCATCCTCTCCTGGGGCACGACGTACGTTTTACCGATGGAATTTTCGGGAATAGAAACGTTGTACAGAGACTGCGTGAAACGGAATTCGGAAATTTCCGAGGGAAGACTCGCGTCATCCTCGAACGTGAACGGCAGGGTCGTCGCGGTGCCGATCGAGGAAATCGACTTGATTGAAGCACCACCACCACCACCACCACCACCATTGCCATCGCCGTCGTCGTCTCTCGCGCTTCCGCCCCCGCCGCCACGTGGCGGCACGAAAGTCGGCACGAAAGTATCGGAAGACGGAGAGCCGGCCGTGGCCGCGAACAGCCATAGCCACAACCATGGCCAGGCGTGAAGCACGCGTTGCTTCATCCTATGCATGATGGTGTCGCTAGCTCATCGTTAGTGCTCGTCGACGAACACTTCCGCCCGGTTTGTCTTTCGCTCGATAGAACGAGGCCACTGCGAGGTACAGGACTTCCGACCCCGTTTCGCGTATCGGCAGCGGTCACCTGAAACAGTAAACGACGCCAAAGTTAGACCGAGCGACGAGTTGGCAAAGACAAAGAGGGAGCCCCGTAAAGTCTAGCACGTGGATACAGTCAAACGGCAAAATTCAAGATTATCTTCCACGACAGCTACCGACTTCCAGCCGATCGAGCGCAAAGACTAGGTTTACCGGAGGAAGTTAGAACGAGGGAGAGAAGGGAGAGAAGGGATGGCGGGACCAAACTCTTCCTTTCCGATTGTACATTATTGATCGACGGCACGATCGATATACCATAGCGACAGATAAATCACTGGAGTGTGAGACGTTGCGAGTACTGTACTGCCCGAATCAATTATTTATTGATGAGACTCTTAACTTCACTCAATTGTCCATTTCGTGGAATTCTGTTGAATGTAAAAGGGACAATCAAATGCAATTATGTATTCGTTACGTCGCTTCGATGAAATGCGATTGTCCTGGAAGAGTGCTATAGAATATTCACGTATCGAAACTCAAATTAAAATTCCATTGACATTGCAGTCCTCGATCGAGTACGCCGATCGAGTTCACTTCTTGCAGAAAATTCAAATTGAATTATTCTTCATAGTGAAGTTATAAAATATTCCACTTCTGTATATATGCGTGTATGTATATATATATATATATATATATATATATATATATATATGTGATCTCAATCAAAAGTAGGATAGTTTAAATAAATTAAAAAGATGTAAAAGATTAAATAATTAAATATACATTTCTCTCTTATCAACGTACAAATAAAAATTTAAATTTGTTGGTTAAAATAATCACAAAAGTGCAAATTTATTTTTGATAAAGGTAAAAACAAAAAAGCTTTTTCTCTCTACGTACACAAATATAATTTTTTTAAAAGCATTGCTAAGCCGTATGCATCGGCAGTGAGAGCTCATGAATTCTAGCCACCGATCACTCCCTCGTCTGACAGTTCCACGACCAAAGCCGCGATATCAACGACTCGTGTCAGCGGATGCAAGCGGGGAATGATAGGGGATGCCAGGATTTTACCTATCTTCCCAGTATCCCGCACTCGTATACTCTCTAATCTTGACCAGCGGTGCCTCCGGCCGCATTTGCACGATGTATGTCGCCGCGCGTTTGACAGCTCGATATCGATACGTCCGCCGTTTAAATAGGAACGATACATTACGCTATTGCGAGAGCGTACCGCAAATTTGAATGAATAACAGATCGCAGATAGCTCTCTGCTTTTCGCTGTCGAGGGGGATCTCGAGATGTTTGCAAATGAGAAAATCTAAATAATTGTTAATTTCGAATTATCCACCGTTTGTTTCTGCTCGAAAGTGGAAAAGACCATGATAATCTGAATAAGGACGAGTGCAATAGCGTCACAGAAGTCGCACTCGACGGTTTTCTCTCCGGTCGCATAATTATCTCTCTCGGAGATAAGACAAGAGCCCCGGATTGCTTTGTCGCTCGCGAGTCGCGAAATCGCGGCGACGGAATTGTCTTCCGCGTCCGCGTTATAGCGCTCGAAGTTATTTCACTTGGAAATTCGTGGGACGGCGCGGATTATTATCACGCGGAGCAGCCACTTTAACGATGAGCGGAAACAAAAAAAAAAGAAAAAAAATTGACCTTTAGTTCCTGTAAAGTAAAACGTGGAATATCGAGATATGTACGTGCCTCTGGCTTTCGCTCGCGAGGAATGTTTACGCGGACTCGGTGCCAATTACGTAGCCACTGATTCGTAACCGGCGTAATAAAAAGCGCTTAAACGCCGGGCGCGTTCCCCCCCCTCCCCTCCCCGCGATTCCCCGCGTGCTGCGCTGCGTCTTCCCGCGATAATGCACCTGGAGAACGTGCGCATGCAGGTAATCGTAAGTGAAACGAGACGAGCGAGCGAGTCCGCGCCAAGTTGGCGCCTCTGAACATTCGCATTGCGTTGCTACCGCGTCCCGAAGCCTTGTACTCTACCTTGAACGCGTCGCCGACCGGTTGACATTCCCTCGCGCATTTTCAATCCCGATACGTTAATGAGATGCCTCGAACGATGTCCTCTTTTATAAACGGACTAAAAACCCCGATGCGGCTCATCATTAAAAAATTACTAAAGCCAAATCTAACATTTCAAAAACTGTAAAATTAGAAAAAAATATTAAACTATAACATAATTTATAAGAATGAAAATTACTTTGGAGTAAATAATTTATTGCTGCACAAAAAAAAGAAGAGAAATAATATTCACATCAGTTCGATGTTCTTAAGAAATAGATAAATTCCACGAGTTTGCTAGTAGTATAGTTTAATATACTTGTGCGGATGACACCTCGAATAGCAGCGAACGTGTTAATCGACACGCTCGACGCTACATTTTCGTGTTAACGCGACAACGTTCGCTATATCAAATACTCTTACACTACATCAAATATGCTCTTCAGCAACCGTGTCGACCGCGGAATACATTTTCCCCGGATTTATACTGCTGCATTACACGGTCAAGTCCAGAGGAAATCCCGTCGCAATCTTCCCAAATATATTTGCATACGACGCCGGATATGTAGAAAGACTTCGAGTCTACATATCCGGCGACTCTGTCGCATGCATACGTAAATAAAATCACGTTTCTTTCGTATCCGCTTAAATTCACTCCGAGATATCTAAAAATGATGGATAGAACGAATAGAAAATGGACGAAGACGTCGGGACGATTTCTTCCGCAATCTCTTTCTCCAAGTTCGGCGCCGCTTGCGGAAGGTTCGTCTAGCTGAAATGACTACCGTGACAAAGTGAGATTATGCGGATATCGAGAACGACGACGGACGTCTGAGATTGTACTCGGCGGTTTCCCGAAAGCCGTGCAGCTTTCTCTCAAAGGAGTCATGATACCGAGGCTGAATCGCAGAAACAACGAACCGCGACGCGGAGCCTTTGACAGCGGCACAAAAACATTCGAGCGAGATTACGCTGCTTTTCTTTTACCAGTGTTTCACTCTCTTTTCTCTTCTCGATGAGATTTAAACAGCTTTGAACTCACCACGAAAAGTTGAGAGGACGAAATGGACGGATGATTTCGAGTCCCGAAGGCGGTTCTTATGGCGTTCGGAGGTCGGAGGACAGTGCTTGCGCAGAAACTCGTTTTGCCAGTTAAATCGAGCGTGAATTGCGATGCCTCGTGCAGAAAACGGAGCATCGGGTCCTCGTAGAGGTATGGCTCGGCCGGGGATTTAAAAATGATCGAGGGACAGACAGCGATGGGCGACAAAAGGAAAAACCGCACCGCGGCTCGAGAATATTCACGCGATATTTTTTTCGCGCGAATAAACGTATGTTCGCTCCCTGGCATACTGTTGGCGAGAAAATGCGGGAATCACCACGGCTAGGTGAACGACGAGCGAAAACAACATACGCCGTCGGTATTTCAATGCGAAATACGCGGACGATCGTGCGCCCGTTTGAGGGACAAACGACCGCAGAGTGCGCACGAAGAGGTCAGCCGGACGATGGTCGGAATTAATTTCACAGCTCGAGCTACGTGTTCTACCGGCTGGCGTTGTAACGAATTTTGTCAGTTTACGGAGCAAACACGCCTAGCCGCCTCATCTCAACCAAGCCGAAAAAAGGTAGCCGATGTTCGCGAGGCGAGGCGAAATATTCGACGGTGACGCAATTATTCCGGAACGTATTCGCGACGCCAACATTTGTATTCTCTATCTCTTCACGAAAACAGAAACAAAGGGACAAATCCGATTAATGCCTACGGTTTTGTGGCGCAGCGTAATCACCTGGATTCCGTGCCGTTCGCTTTTATCTCTCCGATACACAACAAAAGAACATTATTGTTCATTTATTTATCGTAATGATACTGAAGAGCTTGCGATGCTATTACCAGTGCGCGTTGAATTAATCTGATATCACAAACTGTGTATTTTCCGCAATATAAAGATATTTTAAACTCTCCTGGTATCAATTTTTCTCAACGCGTGTTATCACTGGTCCTTACAGAGAGAAAATAATTTTCATATATAACTTGAGCAAATTATTGTTGATTATCATCGAAAAAAAATATTTCAGAAAATTTTCAAGAGTAAATCCTATATATATATATATAGTA